CAATACGGAAAAAAGGATAATTGTCGTCACGACAGTGGCAAAGGACCGATAATTATTATACGTATTACGACTATCTTCCGTTCATATAATAGCCGAAGAGGTTTATTACCGGATTTGGTTTTTTAGCTCAACAATATGTTAATAATAATTATGATTTTAATCTCTACTTTACTGAATTTTACCATGTTTATTGTTGTGTCGCACTCGTAAAAAGTTTTCTGAGTGAGGTTGGCTAATAAAATTATTCTACTGGCCTACTAAATTGTCAATACTAAGATTAGAAAAAAACAGATCTTGTAGATGCTTTACCTATACTCTGTTCACAAGAAAAGATGTTTCGGTGATACACTCTGGTTAAATTTCAAAAATAGTTCCACAATAAATTTAATTGTTGACCGCTTGACTAAGCAGACGTGTTTTTTTGGAATCCGACAAAATGCATTAAATAGAAATCATATATAATTTCTAATAAAGAATTATTTTGTAGTGTAAGTAGTTTCCGCTAAGTGTGTCACGAGCGAGAGTGATTCATGCCTATTGTTTGCAAACTGTGTATTTAGCATGATCTAATCTTTGACTTATAAACATAGTTATAAAAAATTTATATGTGTTAGTGACTATGTCTAACCCAGGATCAAGCCCGTTTGGCCGTAGCCAGTTAATACGGAGGAGTCCTCCACCGACGCCAACACGGCAACATCAGCCCATTGATGAAGAACCGCCCTTGCCCAAGAACAATGATTTACCTAGCGAGGTAATACAGACGCCGGAGATCCAGAAATGGATGTCAAGCATTGATGCCCTGTTGAATGAGGTTTGCTCTATAGTGTCGGAGGGCAAAATGAACACGGATCAGAAGATGCGTGTCACAAATATTTGCCGTAAGATCGGATCTGGCACATCTCAAATGGCCGTATTATATCAATCATTAAAGCAGAAGACTATCCTTGCGCATACCACCATACAGCACCTACAGGAAACCAAAGATGTTGCGAGCTCCCTAAATCGATTCAAAACAGTTGTTGAAGAAAAGCTGAGACCACAGGAACATAGCTCTTTTGCCGATATGGTAAAAAAAGGTCCAAATAAGTTTGTTCGTCCGAGCAATATTAGTACCCTTGCCATCTATCCTAGCGACAAGACCAAGACTAGTGAAGATACTAAGTCTCTAGTATAAAAAATAATTTCACCCGAGGAACTAAAACTTCATGTTAGAGGCCTTAGAAAAGTGAGTAATGGGGGTGTTATTATTAGTGCCGAATCTAAATTAGACATTGAGAAATTGAGGCAGTCAAAGAAATTAGCGTCATCAGGCCTTAAAGTCGAAGAACCTGCAAAACGCAAACCAAGAATTACTGTCGTAGGTGTACCCGTCGCCCTGACTGAAAAGGAGGTGCTTGAGTGCATCTATGAGCAGAATTTAGCAGACAAGTTTCCTGACGATTCTCGTGAGTCCTGTCTGAATACCATCAAACTTAGCCACAAATCAGGTAAAAAAAGCCCTCCTATCTGTAATTATATTCTTGAGGTACCGGCTCATATTAGAAAAGCGCTCATAAATCAAGGCAGAATTTACATAAATTGGACTTCCTGTCCCGTTAGAGACTTCACGCTGGTGACCAGGTGCTTTAACTGCCAGCAGTTTGGACATGCAGCTAAATATTGCCGTGAAACTAGCCCAACCTGTAATCACTGTGGAGAGTCCGGGCACTCCTTTAAGGATTGCAACGACAAATCTACACCACCTACTTGTGCGACGTGCAGAAGGTTCAAACGGAAAAGTGATCACCAAACTGGTGATGCAACTTGCCCAGCTCGGAAATATGCTGATGATAAATATTTAAATTCTATAGACTATGAGGGCGTCTAAGAGCGTAATTGATTATTTTAGCGTAAGCACTTAAACCTATCTATATTTAATATGTAATGACTAATCAGTAGCTCTGTGGCCTAGATCATTTTTCTCTCTGAAGTTAAATATTGTGATGTCGAAGAGAATATGTGCCGACTACTGACAATTTACTGGCACCAATAACTCATTATACCTAATAATCAAAATAATTGTAGTGTTTGTTAAGACATTTTATGTATTCTTAGGATCTTTCTTATATTATAAAATTAATAAGATACTAAATATATATAGCTTAGAACTATAAGAAACTTAAATTATGCGGAAACATAAAATATGTTAGAAATTATTATTACGTATGTTTGTGAATTGCTTTTGCACGTGTACACTATGTAGTATTTTTATTTTCATTATTATTCTGTTATTGTTACGTATTATATACATATTATTACGTATTTATTATTCTGGACATTAATATCTAAATAAAGTTTGTTTAATACTCTAAGTCAAGCGATCGCCTGAAACACAGGTTTATTCTAGTTCAGGCAGGCAGTGATTAAAGTATTCGAAATAAATTTTATTACATATATGTGTATAAAGATCTGTATAAATAAAATATTACCTTAGTTTTACACTAGTCTTGCTTAATGATTAACGAAACTACTGAATGTATTTTTTTTTAAATAAAAATTCAGTTTAATGTAAACTGCAAGTAATTTTATATTTTTATTTGAGACTATATTTTTTTTATTTTCAATGTATGTTTTTAACAAAAGCGGTATTTACCTATAAGTAATTTCTTTGGCATGTGTATATTACAAATTTCGATGTGAAGAATTTTTGGTAAACCTAAAAAAAATAAAAAAAAATACTAAACGCGTTAGTGATTCGATAAAAAAAAGCAATTGATATCATGTAGAAGGAAATCGATTTAAAAAAACGCAATAAGTTAATGTTAGCTAAATGGTAACCTGTTTAGTAATTATTATACTGAAGTTTAACGTGCTATTAATTCGACTTTATTTATCAACGTTACCCGAGGACCCACGTCATGAACTTGATGTCTGTCATCTTGTGTATTTCATTACACTACTTGAATTTCAGCATTGTGATGTTCTATTGCAAATAAAATTGACTAAGTGCGAGTATTTTACTCTTACATAAGCTATTTGTATTAATTTAGAAATTATTAAAATTAAATTACAAATATGCTGTAGAACCATTTAATTTCTTCCCAACCCTGCATGCAATATAACCATACTTTATGGAGTAAAACAATAAAAGATAATGTAAAATGTTTTAGTAGCATAAAGAAATTGTATTCGTGTAGTAAAAATTTACACTGCTCAACTAAAACTTTTATTTAAAAGTAATTCACGGATATTATATACGTTAAAGTCATAGTCATAAGTCATAGTCAAGTGTAGTAGCTAAATTCAATAGGTATCATCTCTCCATCATTTTATCAAACTTTTTTATTTCTGTTATTCGAAGTAATCACCCATGCAATCGACGCATCTTTGCCAACGCATTGGCAGTTTATTGTTGTAAAAATCAGCTGGACGGGAGGCAACAAACTGTTCAAACGCATTTTGTACTGCCTCTCGGGAATTTAATTTTTTACCCACTAAAAAAGTTGCACCTACCGACTATTACTTTTTCCAAAATTTAGACAACTTTTTAGTGGGTAAAAAATTCAATTCCCGAGAGGCAGTACAAAATGCGTTTGAAGAGTTTGTTGCCTCCCGTCCAGCTGATTTTTACAAGAAGGGCAACAATAAACTGCCAATGCGTTGGCAAAGATGCGTCGATTGCATGGGTGATTACTTCGAATAACAGAAATAAAAAAGTTTGAAAAAATAAGTACTTTCACTTATTGCATACAAAACGGCAATTTCATAGGTAAATACCTAATATTATGATACAAGTCTGTTACAAATTTGTAACATTAGATATATTGCCGTATTGTTGATATTCCTAATAAGGGATAATAAATACAAAAGCCATTCATACATTAAATTTATTTATTTTCACCTTCTTGTAATATTTAGGTACGTATGTAAACTTTCCTATAATATACAATAATTATTCTTTTAAGCAATAAATAGTAATAATAGTATACAATACATGATTGTAACAATATGTACAAAACATAACTAAGGGCTACTTTTATCAACATTAGAGAGTAAAAGAGCCCACATTAACGATTTCTACAAAATAGTGCCAAATTATAAACATTTTAGTGACGTATTGATTCATTTTCTACTAGTAGTTATGTAAATATGTCTAAATTTAAATTTGTAGTCCTTAGTATTAAAAGTGCTAGGAACTTTTTTCTTCTAAAACCATACGTTTTACCGCTGATAATAATACTTTGGTTTACTCCCACGAAGTATAACGATATTAGAATACAAATCAGTTAGTATCCATGTCAAAAAGCTTATTAATATTATAAACCTGGTGGATTTATGAACACTGAAAACGTTTAGCCTTAATCTGATTAAAATGAAACAAATAAAAAAAAAAACAATATGCGATGATGGGTAATTGTTTTGACAATGTTTTGAGTTTAAAACATTTTCAGGTACAGGCGTAACTATATTTTTTTCTTGATTATTGCCGATAAATAAGCGGTAGTGAAATTGAGCCATGTGTAAATGTGCAATTTTCTTGAACTCAAAAAGACATAGTGTAACAAATCAACAGCAGCTACATTACTTACATTTCTTTAAATAAAGTAGTTACAATACATTCTTTACCATTCATATTGTATTTAGGTATTTATTAAAACATTGTAAAGTTTATTGCTAGTTTTTACATAGGTACATATTTAAAAGACGTTACTAGATACACCAGGTATACCAAAAAAAAATGTTCACATACAAATCACCATGTTTTAATTTTTTTTTTATTTCCCTAAACCTGAATCGTTTGTGCAACATTACAATAACCTTTACATCTTCTTTACACTAATTAACAATTCCAATATCTACATAGGTATTTACATCAAATTACGTACACACTAACTGGAGTATTAGCACTCTAGAATCTTAATTTACATAATTATTCAGAACATGGGCATTCGATAGGAATGATAATTGTAATACTTTATGTAGTTAAAATGTAAAATAAATTAATTAAAATGACTCTATCAACGATCGTGCTTTGTCAGTTGTAGTGGTAAGTCGTTGGAAGTGGGCTGTCTCTGTCGGCATGGGCTTGGTGATCTAGATTTTCTTATGCCTGGCCTCTCACCTTCATTGTCACTCTCATCGTGGACATTTATCTCTTCATCTGAATCGGAATGAGACTCGTAGCCTCGAGCTAATTGTATAGACTGAGCTGCCAAAAGCGCTGCAGCGGCTGAGTGGGGTACGAGCGATTTAAAAGCACTATTTTCTAATGCGGGATGAGGCTTAAACGCGCTTCCGTCGAACGTTGCCTGCTGCGCCAACGCTTTCAATGCGTTAGTATCGAACTGTGTTTGATGCGTAAAGGCCTTCAGGGCATTAGTATCTTGGTGCGAGAGAGCCTTGAAAGCGCTATTTTCTCCGCCCATCTGAGGTGTGTGGTAAGGAGCGCGCGCGGGGGACAAAGAACGCGAACGGGACCGGGAAGGAGAATGGGGGAGGCGGTGCGGGGGCGAGCCCCCACCGCGCTTGAGGAGGTTCATGCGCTGATGGCGTCTCCATTTGGCTCGTCTGTTGGAAAACCAAACCTGTCAGTAACGGTAAATAAATGTGATTAGTATTCTGTTGTTAGTGATAATAAATTCATAAATTTATGCAAATGGACACGAAGTGGCTAAAACTGATCTGATATACCCATAGCTATCTATGATGATATAAATTTATATAAAATATTCAAAAGTTCAAAGATTAGAAGTTACCTGAACTCTTGCTTCAGACAGCGATGTTTTTGAAGCCAGTCTTTCTCGAGTAGAAACGCATGGGTAGTGGGATTTTTCGAATTCCTTTTCTAATTCTTCAAGTTGGTCTTGGCTAAAAGTAGTGCGATTTCTTCTAAACTTTGGTTGTTCACCGTCTAAAGATCCAGAGTCATCTCCGTCCACATCTGTTAATAGATAAGAATTAACGGTCAATAGAAGGTATATTAATTAGGTATAAAGGTCAAATGCTCGAAGAAAAACCCATGAAACATACCAATAAGACCACGTGCAGATGACAAGAAACCTTGTTGAACTGAGTCAGGGTGAGGCACACCTGAATGTGGGCCGCCAACTCCAGGAGGTAGGGATAAAGCTCCAGGGGGCCAGACACCGCCGCCTCCAGCCCAAGGAAACGCTCCGTATGGTGGAGGAGCAGCATAGAGACCGTAGCCGGCTGCTCTCGCAAATTCAGCAGCAGCACGTTCCGCAGCTCGATTTCGTAGTATCCTATTAATAGATGATACGCTGGGAGCCGTCGCGTTTGTACATACACCTGTCGACAATCAAATTAATTAATTAGTTTTAATATGAGAAATTTCAAATATGCCGCGTCTCACGCTTATTAAAAAACGTATTTATTTTTAGTCACATCAGTATAAGTGTAAAACATTTGGGAGGAAAGGTATCAACAGATTATGTGAAATACCTAAGTATCAGTAGAGCCCTATCTCACTCACTCTCTTTAAATATTTCATAACATTCTATACCTCCTATCTAATAATATAAAAAGTGAAATAGAAGCCAAGTTTCAATCGGCAATATCATACTTGACTGGTAAGGTCATAGAAGTTAAAAGTGTAATAGATGGTAATACAATACTGGACTAAAATATCACATACAGATTAATAATAGCACAGGGTTAATGCTTCATTAAATTGTCTGTTCTGATATCAATATCAGTGATTGCCAATCGGATTAATGGCCTGATTCACGTTTGCCAACTTAATAGTACGAGTATTACTTCATTACCAAGTTGTTTTTTTCTAAAATACTCATTTAGTTTTCCTTTGATTAATGTGTCTCACAGTCTACCAGGTATTTCACAAGGTATATTTTCTGCGTAAAAACACTGAAATAACTTGTGATGACGAATTCAGTGAGCCTTCAGATTTCTCAATTTAATAATTAAATCCCTTAGATAATAAATTGTAAAACTTATGAGTTTTCTAATTTGTAATGTATTCGAGGCAATAACTTTATTATATCAGTATTATCGCATATAATCTGTGTATTTTTATAATTTAAATTACGAAAAAAGCTAATTTTTTTTTGATTAGGTACTGTTTTTAGTTTTACATGTACATTATATTGACTGGCCTGTTGGTCTAGTGGTTAGTGATCCTGACTGCTATACCAGAGCTCTTGGGTTCGATTGTGGGAATCGAACCCAAGAGCTCTGGTATAGCAGCCAGGACAAATAATTGTGTGATGATCACGGTCATTTGTTCTGTGTCTGAAATAAGTATGTATTTAGAAATATCTTAGTATGATTATCAACAGTGTGGTTACCATAGTACACTCTCTGTCTAGTTTGGGATCAGACGAAAAATATATATGTATATATATATGTTATAATTATAAGTAGTAATAGAGATATGGACAATAAATTTTAACTTCGTTTTCATTCTTAGTTATAACTAACACCTTATTTCTTGCATCCAACTAAAGTCCCGCTAATATCTAGGGTTCGAAATAAACTGAACTATGAAACTGCAGAACTAGTGAATGTTGTTTTCTAAGTTAAATAATATAAACGTCGATGGTCATACTCAAATGGTTTCACTAGCCCGTATTTAATGTAAATAAATACTTGGCTAGAGTCATATTTCGCTTTGCGCACGCATATTACAATTATGTGGTGCACTTTCGAAATGTGACGTCGATTAAATCGTACTCATACGTAGACTACGTACCTAAAATAATAAAATTGTAAAACTAAATTATATTAGAGATGATGCAACAAAACTGTTTATCGTTGAAAAGTGATTTGTGTTAAGTACAACTATACTACTTTTATAAAGCTAAAAGGACTGTAATTTATTAAAAACCTTAACACCAAATTCTATTAGTACATTTTGAAAAACAAGAGTTTGGCAAAGATTTTCATAAAATGAGTAAGCCTATTAAAGGTTATACGTCACGTTTTATGATTATCTGCTATGTACTATTTTGCCCGTGGTAACACTTACATTAAATTTTGCTATCATAGGTAACTGCACTATGCTTCTGGAAATTTCGTTTTAATATGGCGTGAAAACATTCGCAATTAGAATATTCGTTAGGTTTTCAACAAATACATATTAAACACTGATTATCAGTATAATGAGATTTCAAGTATTTAAATATTTAATAAAAATTTCTATGCTATGATTTTTATACAAGAACAAACCCTTATAAAGATAACACAAGTAATTATCATGACTTTCTCTCTAAACTAATGACTGTCTACCTAACATTCGCAGAAAATATTTTATAATTTGCAAAAACTAAGATTCCGTGAATTAGTAATGTTATTGTTTATATTCAACTGTGTGTATCCGGTTTATTCATACTAAATTTTCATTGACGGAACGAATGGCAATTTCTGGCAGTATCCCGCAGAATTAGACTACATCGCCTCGTTTTTCCAATCGCTTGTTACACACATCACATCACATCGACAGCCTTTAATAAGTTCAATGCTGGACATAGGCCTCTCCTTAGAAAAGAGGTTACTACTATACCACTCTGGCCAGACGGGATGCTATAGGGTATGTGTCAAGTCTGCCTTCTCTTTACAGTACTCTTGTTCTGCGTAGTTAGCTCCCTTATTCGACTCTTAAGACACCATGGGATGAATAGCGGTAGGACACTCCGTATTCTTAATCCTTCACCATACGGACGTTTTAATCGCATGTGCTAACGACGAAATCCAACCAATTGAATGAGAGATGGCATTGACTAAATTTATTTTTCTGTTCTGGTTCAAATTGTTAACTGTACTGGTGTTGTGCATTCATAATTAATAAAAACATATTGAACCCTGATGTAACACAGGTGAGCAACTTGGAATTTCCATTTCTGCATTGGAAGTCACGTTTAAGTTTCTAAACTAACAAGTCAAGTTTAAAGAACATTCACTTTTTGATACAATGATAAAAGTACAACCCTAAAGAACACAGGTAAAACCTTATTTGTTAGTGCCTAGATGAGTCTTAAAATCAAAAGTACATTCGCAAGACACAATTTGGCCAAAACTGAGATTACTTACAACGTCAATGTGTTATAACCGTAATGAGAATAAATGAAATATTACTTAATCTTGTTGTAGTTCGATCATTTCATAATTAATAAAAGTCGTTTTTTATTCACTGGTTTTTCATAATCTTAAAAAAGAGAAAGAGAATATGTTCCAATATTACGGACAACCAGACAGATTAAAGTCGTTCAAAATGCATAATATCAGTTTTATTGTTACAAAGGCTATAAATAATGTCAAAAACGTACAATAAACAAGCTTGATAATTATACGAGTACACTATTGGGGATAAAACAAATAAATTTTAGATTAGTCAAATCATTTGTTCGATGTATTTAGTATCTAAAAGCCCGCCTTTGCCTTCGCATTTATTATATAAGTAATAAAAAAAAACATAATAACGATAATGATTCTATCTAATGTAGAAGTATTACATATAATGTTGTTTCGCTTACACGAATGATCTCTCGTCATATTTAATATCGCTTGTGTCGTAACATAATCTATATATGTGAGCAAGCTAAATGCGTGCAGTCAGATCGCGTGCCGACGCAGCCTTGGAGAGTCATCCCATGTAATTTCAGGAAACACTTCGAGTAAGTGCCATAATTTAATCATAGCCTGTCCGAGTGTAATTGTCGTTGGATACGCGGCTACCGAGCAGTGGCCGAGCCCCCGATCACGCTTACGATATTTTAAATAACTTATGATTGCTCTTTCATGTCATTTCAAAACACGAAAACCTGTTACAAAACTCAAATAACTGATGTCACTCAAAAACTTTTATTGTCAACTCGAGTTGGAATTCGTAAGTATAGACCACGGTAAAGACTGGCTAGTCCTCTCAAACGTCATTTAAATTTAAGATGTCAATCATTAAGAATGTAAAATATTGATAATCCGACAGGGCAACGATTTGCAAATGGCAAAGCCAAAAGTGGAAAATAGATAAATAACCTGATGACATGATGTACTGTCACTTTTGTTGAACAATTTATTGCAGTCTAATTATGAAAATTATAAAATACACAATTACGCAATAAAATATTTAAGCAAAAATTTAACTCAGTTTTAACACCGTTACATCTTCTTGTAAGGACAGGATCATCAAATTAACTATAACAAGAACGAAACTTATGTCAATGAGAGATATTTGGTTAATAACTACTTAACATTTATTTTCAATAACTTTTATTAAACATTTCTTTAATATATGCGGATAGTGCGCATGCCACCTACTTACTGGAAAACTAATTGCGTTTGTAATAAACAATTCATAGGCAATGTAGAACAGCTACTTGCAAACATACGCTTTCATGTTTCAATTGTCACAGTTAATTTTCCTCCATTTGCGTTAAATTGATCTATTCTGTTTATTACAACCCTATCATTGAAACAACTACAAACATATCAAAGAACCTTAATTGAACGTAATTGCTTAATGACTTTGTACACGTTTGCGAATAAACAAACGTTTTCTAGACAAGATTCATTATAGAAAATTACTCCTTTCAATATAAAAAAGAACTTCAATGTCAATATGTTTGTGAGAAGGCTTGATATATCTCCGACGGGATTATAATTATAACGAGCTGAGACTATTGCGATTCACAAAGATAGATTTAAAGGCGGTCACTGTTGTTAATGAAGCGCTATTGTGAAGCGGTCCGGCGCGCTTCAGCAAACGTTTGACGTATCAAATAAAACACAAAACGTATCTACCTGTTATAATTTACTCAAAACACAAAGCCTTATATAGTATAATGGTAATGATCAGTTGCATGGTTCAGCCATTGTTAGCATGTTCAAAAGCATAAAAAGGTGCCTTCTACACAATTTGTAAGCTCATAATCTGTGCGTTAAGACGAAGCGCAATAGAACGCCTTCTGTGCGGTGCTAGACGTCAAAAGTTTGATATGGCTGAGAATGTTTTTAGAGTGAACGTTCATTTCTACCCACTGTATGGTAGGTAGGTAGATACGCATACTTCATGACGGGAAGATTAAGATTAGTTGATTTGGTGCCCAAGGACGAAGAGAGTAACTAATTTCACTAGCTTAATGTTTTATTTCTGTTAAGATACAAATAGTGTATATGTATAGGTGTCACGAACTACAAGAACTAACATGTCACAAAGAATCTGCTTGGTTTAAGTGCATACTACAATACAATTTTGTAAAACCTCAAAGCCTCAGCTACTTGTGTTATTCAGAGATAATTATATAGTTCTCCTGTTTATTTTTTAAATTTAACCA